ACGAAGTGTGGGAAACAATTTTTCGGTACCCTAAAATGTTAAGGAAATGTATTCAAGTGGCTCTGGCACCGAACTGAACAACAACAGGCAGGTGTTCCTTCGAAAAATTTCTCACGACTCGATGGAAGACAGGACTCGAAAGCGGTGCCCAATATTTGTGCATGGGATCATACGGTTAAAAGGAGTGCAAATTGTTGTCCTAATGGGCAATCAACATAAAGGCTGTACCCAGGGGATACCAGAACCAAAATTGGGAAAAAAATAAATCCTGCATTCCCACGCATTGCCACAACATTCGTCCTGCATCGGTCCTGCTATTTATATTTGTATGGGCATTTCAAATCACTTGTTATGCCGTTTTTGATTTCCAACTTTCCCACACGGATTTTTTGTGGTGGAACTCGAACTCGAACTCGCACCCCGAACCTGAGCCCTGCAGCAATAAATGTGGCTGCCACTTGTCTTCGATTTCAATATAAATGCGCCCTTATTTGACGCTCACGCTCCCTTGTGAAATCTTATAGATATTTTAATTAATATTTCTTTTTCTTTGCGTGTGAGTGAAACGTACTTAATGTAGAGGGGCCAGAGGGACTCCCGGACTATCAATAAGTTGAGTGCGACTCAAAAGTGTGTGTGAAGCGCGCTGGCATTTGCTTGGGATTAATGTTCCAATAGGCGCGTATCTTGAAGATACTTTTTCTTTCTTATATTTAATGACATTAGATACCAGCCAGGGGGGGTGTTGCCTTGGCGTCTGTTTATGTTATCGTTGCAGCTAATGGATGCACTGTGTGAAATGCCTGGGCAGCCCTCACATCAAGACATGCTGACAATGTTTATCAGAGAGAAGAGTTGAGACCGAAGCGTCTGCATGTGTCATTTGCTGCTGGGGGGAGACCATTGACAGCTTATACTTCAGCCCTTGGGGGTGCAGTTGGCTGTAAGCCCTTTTATATTGTGTTGGTCTGGTCTCAGGCCCTCTGGTAATATGATATGTGCACTTGAGTAACTCAAGCCAGCGGCGTTCTCAAGATAATGGGCAACGTGCCAAGTGCTCGCATGTGTGTATACACACAGCGCAAACAGTGCATCATAAAAGCGAGCCACAGCCACCATTCACGAACTGAGCTGACCGAAAGTTGTGGCTGTTCGCCAGGTCAGGCGGTGGGGCGGGCAGTGTGTGGGGCGTGCCGGGATCTTATGTGATCTTAGCGAGTATGTGCTGGCATCCACAGCAGCCACAGACGCAGACGCAGCCTCGCTTTGGCGGATGGCAAACTGGTTTCCAAGCCGAGTTGCGACCATGGCTATAGCCACACACACACGCGCGCACACACGCACACACACACTCAGCGGTTGAGGTACGACGAACAAATGTGTAAAGTATTAAAAAGACTAAAAAGAGACCTACAAAAAACAAAAGCGTCGACCGCATCCTAAACAGCGGCCAGCAACGACTCGCCAAACAACAGCAACAACAACAACAACAACAACAACATGGGGCAACAGCAGCGGCAACGAGCCAGCCCCAACCAATCTTTTCAAGTTGATCCCCATCAAGATATTATTTGACAGCAATGAAACGACTGGCACGAGTTTGTTTCCCACGGTCTGGCACTGCGCATGTGTGTGTGCCTTGTCGAGTATCTGTGTGCGCCAGTGTCTGCCCCACTGCTCCGCAGTGTGCCTTTTGTCGGTATGGATGGGTTGCCGTCTCTGTCTCTGTGTGGGTTGCTGGCGGCGTTATGGAGCTGACGGTGTCGGGGCGGTCTCCAGGGGGGCGCTGAACACATTGCTGACGCTGCTGGCTCTGCTCTGACTGGGGCTCTGGCTCTGGCTGTGGCTGCTTTTCGCGGCGCAATAAAGTTGAAAGCGCACTGTTGGATATAAATTAATTCAACAACACGCTATAGTTGTTGTTGCTGTTGCTGCCCGGCTTGGTCTCTGGGCTTGGGCCTGTGCCTGTGCCTGTGCACGCTCTCGTGCTGTTGTTGCTGTTGTTGTTGGCCCAAAGTTGGTCGCCGGCGCAGCGGGGGCACTAAAATTCGCGCGTGCGTATGCCATCGATAAAAAAATAAAAATTGTTTTACAAAAACAAAAAAAAATAAAAATGCTTAAAAAACGACCAAAGCGGGAGAAATGAGGTCTTCGTTGTGCTTTGCCGAGAATTAATGTATGAGTGAGTGTGAATGTGTGCGTGTGTACGCGTGTGTGTGGGTAGTTAAGTTGGTTTTGGGCGACTGTAAGGAATGCGCTACGCATTTTAGCTGGGCATATAGCAAAATTGCATGGGCACACAGTGCGTATGAGTCATCCGAAATGTAATTAGACCCCTGGACTGGGCAGCAATAAAAATTAAAGTCCCTCCAGAGATTAATGCTAATTATGGCTGTTAAATGATATATATAGCTAAAAGTAAAGTTTTTTTGTTTTGTAATTGTTATTATTATAGGAGACAAAAAAAAAAAAACGAATAAGATTGGAATAACTCAGCTGATTGTGATTTAAATCAAACCAAACTATTTTGCTCTCAATGGATAATTTTTTGTACACAAAAATACAACACAAGTATATTATATATATACATATATACATACATACATATATTGCATATAAATAATAATTATTTAATTGATTTAAAGAAAATTTATAAATTTCTGTTGTTTCTCGCCCTTTTGAGATCCTCAAGCAATTTTGCATATTTAATGTATATTTAAATACACTTAAAAATAAATTACCACTATACAATTTAATGAATTTGGAGATTCCCATTGATATTTATAAGGAAACTCGATTTGTTTGACGAAAAACGTATTATCATGATTAATCACAATAAAAAATATGTTATTTTTCTTATGACTTTGACGTATGGTTAAAAAAATAAATGAATACATGGATCTATGGTATTTTTGAAGCTTATCTATGGTGTACAAGCCAAATACAGATTCATTTTTAAATGTGCCGCTTAAAATAAAAATGTATTTCGTTTAGATAGTTCATATACATTTTTTTATATGATATATGCTATTATGAACGCACGCATAATATTAATTTGGGACTGACAGATCTAATATTCTTGTTATATAGCAGCTCAAGGCAAGCAACCCCCATGAAATCGAAACCAATTGCGACCCCTATTCCTTTGAATATAATTCATGTTTTACAACACTAACAATCACACACTTTTCACTCTCAATCCAATTAGCCATTTCCGGAGCAGGCAGCTTTTTGACAGCGACGCGCGCCTCACTTAACGAACCAACAAAAACAACAACAACAATAATAACAACAGCAGTCGGACAAAATGAAGATGATGCTGTTAACATTTGTTAACTGTAGCTCATTTGAAATGCGTACAAAACGCCAACTTAATTTGTCTTGTGCTCCGTTTATTGTTGTTGTTGTTGTTGCTGTTGCCGTTGCTGTAGCTGTTGCTGTTGTTTGTTTTTTGATTTTTTTTTGTCTGGCGCTGATGATGCGCCGCTTGTGTTGTCATATTCAATGTGATCTCGTCGGTTCGGCACTTCTAATTAAGTGTTGTGAAATTCGAGCTGTGTGTGTGTCAAAGATTGCTATAAATAGCTGAATTGGAGATATGATACATGCATACATATGTATATTTGCGCTATAATTGTGAATAATGAATGAATCACAGATTAAAGCCGTGCTAAATATAAATATGTGCTAAAAAGTTCAAATCACTCGTGACGTGACAAAAGCCTCAAACACCCCACGAGCCGAATACAGCTGCTCATAACAACAGCATTTATAGCGTGTGCTAACAACAACAACAACAACTACAACAACAAACTGACTTTCGCGCACACGTCGCACAGACTGCTCTTGCGCCTGCCCAGTCAAGCCGGTAATTGTCTACAAATGGTAGAAGTAGTCCGAGCCATAAGCCGTACCCGAACCAAAAATCCAAAACAACAAAAAACACACACACACACATACCAACAGATCGCAAAGCCCGTGCAGTGGTCGTCGCAATGGGCAATCAAGAATAATCATGTAAACGAAAAGCGTAATGCTTGGCCCACGAAGCCCACGATCCCAATCAATGATCCATAAAGCGTTAAAAAAAAATACATGCAACAAAAACAAAAACAAAACAAAGCAACAACAAAAAACTGCTGCGCGATGACGATTCCACAATTATCAGCGTGCCATAAGCTACTGCAAGGGTGAAGGCGAAGGCGAAGGCACATGGCAAGCTGAAGCCAAGACAAGACCCAAGACGAACCAGCACCAGCAACAGCACCAGCACCAGCAGAGAGCTCTCAGCTCAAGTCCAAATACCCGGCCACATACAAATGAATTGAAATGCAAACATCTTGTTATGGATGGAAGGCATGTGCTCGCTTGGCTGCCGCTCTGCCACAGTCAGAGCTCTTAAGGCGGGCCGTCAGACCAGGCCTGGCGGACGGCGGGACGGACAGCCAAAGACCCCAAGCATGCACAATCAGAAGAAGTCAGGCCAGGCAGCCAGCCGTCGTCGTCGTCGTGGAAATCGGCTGCGAAACAGTTTCCCACGGTATAACAATCACAACTCACACAACCGCACACACACGCACACGTACACACACATGCATGCAGCCAGATAGAGGCGCAGCCGCGGCTCAAGTCATTTTATTGCCCTCACACACAAACACACGAGAGGGTGAGAGAGCGAGAACGAGCGATGTTGTCTGAGCGCACACAGCGCATACGTAAACAGAAGCCAGCAGCGACAGCAGCAGGCGCAAGGGAGAAAGGAACTTTAAAGTTGGGTTGCGCACGAGGCAAAATGCGCATCTCGCTCGCACTCGGTGCCGCAACGAAATGCGGTCCGAGCCTATAAAAAGCACGACGCCAACAGCGAGCTGAATCATTCAAAGCTACGACTTTGCTGCGTGTGCAACACAGAGCAACGCACGAAGCGCAAGAGATTCAGAAAAACATACTCAAGACCAACTGTGGATTACGCGTGATATAGTTGAGTGTTTCCCATAGACAATATGGTGCTGGAAATGGAAATGTCGAAGACCTATCAATACCGCAAGGTTATGAAACCAATGCTGGAGCGCAAACGTCGTGCGCGCATCAACAAGTGCCTGGATGAGCTGAAAGACATCATGGTGGAGTGTCTGACCCAGGAGGGTGAGCATATTACGCGCCTGGAGAAGGCCGACATACTCGAGCTGACCGTGGAGCACATGAAGAAGTTGCGCGCCCAAAAGCAGCTGCGTCTTGGCAGCAGCTCGAATGCCAGCGTTGCCGGCGATTCCAAGCTGAGCATTGCGGAGAGCTTTCGGGCCGGCTATGTGCATGCTGCTAATGAGGTGTCCAAAACTCTGGCTGCGGTGCCCGGCGTCAGCGTTGATCTGGGCACGCAGCTAATGAGTCATCTGGGCCATCGACTCAACTACTTGCAAGTGGTGGTGCCCACGCTGCCCATTGGCGTCACCGTGCCGCTCCAGGCAAATGATGAGCTGAGCAGCAATAGTAGCAGCAGCAGCAGTAGCAGTCCATCTCCCGATCTCGTTACACCGCCGCCCTCGGAATGCGACAGTGCCAGCGGCAGCTGCAGCCCAGCGCCCAGTGAGGCCAGCACCAGCTCCAACAGCTCTGGACCCATGTGGCGTCCCTGGTGAACGGATTGCAGGCGGCAGCCTTGAAGCACAAGGCGTTGACAACTTACTCACTTGCACTCAATTGGACAGCTGTTCGCACAGGCGCGCTGGATTGGAAACCGTGCGCCGACAGCTTCACTGCAAAGATCTTTGAGCCACTCAGCTAGAGCCGACAGCATGGCTAAAGAGTGTCGCTACATTTTCATGTGCACCCAGTGCAATTCAAATCAGAATAAATAAAATATATTCATATATGTTTGAAAAAAAGAAACCCTAAATTTCATTTAATTTGGTCATCTCGAGTTTCAGCAAAATGATTCAATTTCACGAGGCGCCTGACTGCCTGCGTCATTCTGTCCAGCAGCGATAAGCGCAATCATCAATGAAGCCCTTCCGGAGGCGACGGGCATACTATAATGAGCTCCATAGAAATCCAAATCAAAACCGCAGCCGGAAGTCGCTAAATATTTTCCCACACTCGGCCTCTCCAGTTGGCCTCATTTAATGACGGTTCATACTCAGTTCTCCAATTCCGACTTCATTCAGCTTCGCCGCCGGCTATGACCGCGGGGCCTTTTGCGCCGGCGCTGCTGCGGCAATTAAATAATAAAAACAGCGTAGAGCAGCAAAAAAAAAACAACGTATATATATGTATATAGTAGAAAGATGTATGTGTGTATAAACCCAGCAACTAAATTCTAGGAAACTCAATTTATTACAAGTTTTCGAGTGTGAGAACCGCTCGACTCGCCTGTCAATGGTTCGCATTGTAGTTGTTGTTGTTGTTGTCGTAGCTTTGACAGCTTTAACTGCGCTTGACCGTTTGGCACATGCGCCGGGGCCGCCGGCTGGACGGGCGGACAGACCTCCAGACAGACATCGCAAATTAAGGTCCGCGACCGCGACCGGACCGGGCACTTAAAACTTCGTTATATATCGGTATTGGTATCGGTATATGAGCAATATCTATGTGTGTGCTTCTCTCTCTGTGGATGTGTGTGTGAGTGTGTGTGCGGTTTGGTTACGGAACTTCAAATTGAACGCTTTTGTGTCTGGTGTGGACAACTATGATGATGACTGCTACTCTCCGCTGATGCTGATTGCTGCTAATCTTTGCCAAATGTGATTAGTCACGTAACATTGGCACGGCGACCTGCACAGCTCTTTTATATCATTATTGTACACGCACACATACATACATATCTTTTATATTTTAGCGTTTTTTTTTTTTTTTCTTTGCGAATCAGCTACAAGTTTGAAGAATACGAAAATTGCAAGAGGACCATTAAAGAACTTGCCTTAGCTGATCATTTCGAAAAGTGCTGTCAGAAATTAGCAGGCTTATGATGATATTTTAATGACATAAGTGAAGATATCTTCTTAAGTATTGGAAGCTACAAAATTACCAAAAAGAAAAATCCAATCAAAAACAAGTAAAATTAAATATGGTTTGCAATGTTGTATTTCATAAACATATAAGCAGCCCAATTTACTAGAGAATCTCAGTTTGAGTCAAGTATATAATTTTTAACGTACTTTTTCAAATAAAATCCTTTATGAATGTGTAGTGAATAGGTAGCCGTCATTTTTATGCAAATATAATTTTTGTTAAAAAAAAAATACGTATTAAACTAAATTTGTTGGTATTATATATTTTTTTCTTAAAATTTTCAAGAAGCTTCTGATATAAGCTCAGACAAATAATTTTAATAAAAACGCATATTTATTTATATTATTAAATACATATTATGACTTTTCATTGGAAACCCTAATAAGATTCATATATTTTACAAGTAATTAATTGCCAAAAGAATATTTTAAGTTTGCTTAAAGTATTTATAAGCCATCATTAATATCTATTTTCATCTAGGGTACTACATATAATATTTCTGACACGTTTGCTTTTGTATTTCAAATAACTGGAAAAACTATCTACTCATTTACTTCGAAATATGAAGCTGGCAATGATGAGAATGATATTATTTTATGAAGGCCAATAACTAACGGTTCGATTGGAACGGCTTGACGGCTAACGGTTCGTAAGCGCTTTAAAGTAGCAAAAAAAAAAAATATATGTATATATGTATAAATGAAGAAGTACAGTACGGTGCGCACATCACGTGACCTCTGAGTGTTGGCCCCACACTAATTCCATTCCAATCCATTCACATTCACATTCACTCAAGCAACTGCAGTTGATGCTGTTGCTGCCGATGCTGCCCCGGGGCCAGGCAGTGCCACCTACTGCAGTCATAATACACACACGCCGCAAAATTTAATGCAGCCATATTAAAGTAAGCGCAAGACCACCACTTAATAAAAAATAAAATAAAAATAAAATCAAAAAAAATCAAATATAAAAACCGGCCAACCCAGCCGATGGAGCGGGCGCTGGCAATGGGCTGACCAAGGGGCCAGGCATCGTTGAGATGAGCAGCGGCTGTTTGGGTGGGGGAGGGGGGTTGGCGTGGGGCTGCCATGCAACAACTCGTGCCAGCATCTCTGGCACACAATCACACACACACACATACACGCACGCTCGCTAACACTGGCTCTGGGCAGGGCTCGTCCAGTGGCAACGTGCGCGTGTGCCAATGCAGTGTAACAACATCCCATATTAAAGATATTACAGAGTCAATAGCACACCATATAAGTGTGGCTCGGCCTGTGCCTCACACTGGCTAACTGTCTCTATCGCACACTCGAACTTTGTCTCGCTCTGACTCTGGCTCTGTCTCTGGCCATAAACAAAGTAAATTGAGTTCGTTCGACAAAACGCTGCGAGTCGCGAGTTGCGAGCTGCGGCTTCATCGCGCATGCGCCGCGCCACAGGCCGCCTTGCTGCCTGCCCCCCCCTACCCCTTTTGTATTCGGCTACGCTGTGGTCTTAACGATCGTGTGTCCACAGTCATTACAATGTTGGCCAATGCGACGACGTCAACTTTGCCGCACACTTACCGCTGCACGCTGCTTTTCTCTTTCAAGTCGCAGCAGCAGCAGCAGCTAGTCGCCTCCTCGCTCCTCGGTCGTGATCTTGCCCGTAAGTGGTCTTGTATCTTGAATTCAAAAATACGTACAACAGGGAGAGACACACAACCACACACACACACACACCCTGCACACACTTACACATAAAAAAGGGCAGGTGTGTCGATCGTGTGAGAACCACGTTCCAAACCATTTTCTCACGATCTTCGCTTCTGATATTTTTTGTACTGCGCTCCCTTCCTCACCCTGTGCCCGACCAGTCCCTCCGCCCGTCTATTTGTGTGTGCGTGTGCTGTGGCCCTTCAAGTGATTCGTATGCAGTTTGTGTATTGTAGATTTTTAATGACTCGGGCTTGCGTTCGAGCGGCGAGCGGCGAGCGTCGAGCGTCGAGCTCTTTGCCGATCTTTGAACGTTTCGGAGTTTTTGGATTGGGATACGGTTTCGGTTACGTTGCAACACATTCGTTCATCATTCATCGGGTTTACCTTTAAGATTAAGTATCTTTTGAAGCTGCTGCGTGCATTTCCTTTTGCCTTCGCCTTATGCTATATTCTGCTTATTGTCCATTGTCGTCTCTGGTTGTGCATCTTGTTGTCGTTGTTGTTGTTGATGTTGTTGTTGCTGTCATTGTTGTTGCTGTCGTTGTCATTGTTGTTGTTGCCATGCCACAATTATGCTGCCTAGGGATGGCCGAGGATCAACATTGAGTTGCGATTTTTTTTTTGTCCATATTGATCATATGCAAATTTGTATGAGCTACTCGACTGAGGATTCAATTGAGTTATACAAAAGGTTTTTGGGCTGTTTTTGAAGTTGTATTAGCTTTATAGGTGTCAGTAAGGCATAACTTATGTAAATTGTAAATATTACAGAATCTGATTTATAGAGTTCAAATAAAAGAGAGCCCACTTTGATATCTGATCTGTACAGTTAGACTTAATTGTAGACAGTTGAGACAAAATAAAATATAATTAAATATTTTTTAATTTAAGCCAACAATAAATTTGTTCAGATTAATTATAGTGATTTTTTATTATGTGAAATGTGATATATTTGTATGTATAAACTGAAATACCTTAACTTAAAATCTTAATTTATATTATTATTATTTATTGCTGAATTAAATGTTTAGTAAAAAGCCTTTTATACCTAAACTTTATAAATAAATTAATTATAAATTGGCTAAAAATTGTTCTTTGGTTAACCCGCATTATTTAAATCCCACTTGAAGGTAAATTTACTGCTCAGAAATCTTCAGTCCTAAGATTGTTAATGCTGATCAAGGCCACAATTTTGCATCCCCAGAGGTGCCCTCATAATTTTCATGTTGACTGGGCTATTTTATGTGGCTGTCTTTAACTTCATTGATTGTTAACAGCTCAGGCGTCGTGGCTACTGGTCTTGTTGGAGCAGCAAAAACAACAACAACAACAGCAGCGACAGCAACAGCAGCGACAGCGACAGCGGCAGCAGATAACCAAATGATGCGGGCCAGCCAAAAGTGATATCCTGTCAGGGTCCAAGCTGTAGATTGCCCTAGGGTAGAGCAATCATTTTACCTTTACCTGAATGTCAGACAGACAGCCCGAGCAATTATGTGTCTTGCCTTGACCATTGTGCACACGATTTTCTAGACGAGTGCCCAAAAAGGATGCTTAATGATTGGAGGTTGGCCGGAGGGTTGTACAACGATGACTCGATCCTTTTCTACTATTGTTTGGGCCGTTTTTCTTTTCAAGAAGATTTCGTTTTGGGCCTAAGGCTGAGCGACATTGTCGTAACTCGATTAGGCACGCCAAGAGATAAGTCTCTAATTTTTTATGTTGCCCGGTCTTATTGTGTGCACACGTGTTCAAGGGGTGCTCCTGGACCCTGGACCGTGGACGCGTCGGCAGACTCGTAACGGACATTGATTTTATTTTTCTACTATTTTCTTTTTAATTTATTTTTTTTTTAGTTTTCTTTTTGGTTTTTTTCTCGGCCTTGGCATTGTTTTCGCTTTCTATTGTTATGCGATTTTTGGTCGGCATTTGTAACAATAAGAAGAATCAGAAAATTACAACGAATTGACTCAGTTGGGCTCGAAAAAATTGTAGCAGCAGTTTAGGCTATGTCAGATCAGGGCATTTCCGCTACAACTCATATATGATAATATAAACATGTTTATACTTATATGTACATATTCCGGGAAACAGTTTGACCAATTGGATAGTCAAATGTTGCTTATTGATAAGCTGCTATTCCCATTAATTTCAGTCATATA